AACGAAACTGTAGAATAATCCGCAGCTGGGAGGTGAGCATGTGCTATACATTGGGGAGAAAAAGCTGGGGACTGAGCCATCGCTAGATCACAAAACAGGCCTAGAGTAGAGCACACCCTTCTGTACCCCCTGGTTTCCCACCCCTCACCTGCCAACATTTACCAACCTCCGATCTATTGTTTTTGCGTTTGTAGTCAGGAAGAGGGTTCTGCAAAAAAAGGTGATCTCCCTTTTTTCCAGCAGAGGAGGCAACATGATCTGTCCAAGGTCACAAACAGTTATGCCCCTGATTACCACCCACACTGTCTTTTCATCAAATTGTTTGTTGATGAAAGAAAGAAAGAAAGAAAGAAAGAAAGAAAGAAAGAAAGAAAGAAAGAAAGAACATTCAAAGGATATTTCACCCCTCAAAGAATTCTGGGCACTGTAGTTTACCCCTCATAATGTTACAATCCCCAGGGACCATTTATACGGGGCACAGAATTCTTTTGAGGGCAGGAAATGTGGTTTGAAAGTGCTATAAAGCCATAGTGTGTGTGCAGATTTACAACCCGCCCCATCTCTCAGGTTCAGAGGTCATATTGCAGTGTTGTTCTCCACAGCAACCCAGAAGATGGGGTCACCGTTCTCATTTTTAAAAGATACAGAAATCGAGGCTGGCAGATCCTCATACGTACAAGACCACCTAGTGGGCCCACAGTTGAAGTAATATCTGAAATCAGATCTTATCTTCCAGCACTTGGTACTGGGAACACACTAATCTGAAACCTGGGAGAAACTGATATAATAGCCTATGAATAATTTTAGCCCTTTAAAAAGCAGCAGCTGCAGTTCTTAAATGAGCAAAATGATAAGACTTAGGGGAAGAGAATTTGTCTGGGCTACAAAGAATTCTGGTCCAAGTAAAAGTTGCTGCATGCCAGATTTTCCTGTGCATGCCATAAATTTTGAGCACACACAGGCATGTCTTCTCTCAAAGAATTCTGGAAATTGCAGCTTTATGAGGGGGTTTCCTAACAATTCTCAGCACCCTTAACAAACTATAACTTTGAGGGAGACCAGGCCTGTTAAAGTGGCATACGAGTGCATCAAATGTATTGGGGTGTATCCAGTGCTGGTCCTACTCAGAGGAGACCCATTGAAATCAATGGACCTAACTAACTCAGGTCCATTAATTTCAACAGATATACTCTGAGTAGGACCAGCATTGGATACAACTCATGTGGATGTGACCTAAATCTTATGCAGAAGCCTAAAGGTTTTTCAGCTTCATCAAACTGTGCCCTGACTATATAGCAGTATCCATTATTCCCTCTCTATCCAATGGCAATGCAGTATCTGCTAAACTAAAGGATGGAGGGAAAGCATACCTGCACAGAGAGCGGTGCTGCTGTTTCCCTTCTTCTCCCCACACCTCAACCAAAAAATGGCTAGGATTTTCTTTGCAGAACCTCCAAAGAAATAAAAAAAAAGCAAGCAGAGGTTGGAGGGCTATCTGTAATAGATGTTTTAGTTGAGATTCCTGCATTGCAGGAGATTAGACTATAATAATAATAATAATAATAATAATAATAATAATAATAATAATAATAATAATAATAATAATACTATGACTACTAATACTCCGCCCACCTGGCTGGGTTTCCCCAGCCACTCTGGGTGACTTACAGAATATATAAAACATAATAAAACACAAAACATGACCCTTGGGGTCCCTTCCAACTCTATGTTTCTATGAACATCTAATTCCAGACTCTAATTGTGGGCTAGGTGAATATAACAGTTAGTGGCCCAGATGGGATACACATCATATTACTATCTTTTTCCTGATTCAGAAAGGAAGATCCGTGTGTTGCCTTTAGATGCAGATGGGCACCCATCTGTTTTGGACCATAACTCCCATCAGTCCCAGGCAGCATGCTCTGCGATTTGCAGCCAAAAACTTATGAAGGGCACCAGCTTGGGGAAAGCCTGGCTTAATGTGGATCCCTCACTTCTTCCAATATAGTAATCCAAAAGCTTATGGCTCATGCAGCTCCATTCCCTAGCCTCTCTGATCTATCTTATAAACATGCCCTTCTTCCTATAACTACTTAAGATTAAATGACTCAAAGCAAACGTTTTATTCTCTATCTACAGTATTTTATAAAGTTATGCACTTCTTAAGATAGTGTAACCAGATTTTGCACGATTATTCCTGAACTGAGATCAAGGAACAGGCTTTTGTCTGTGTTTGGACAACAACAACAACAACAACAACAAAATTTATACTCCAGATACAATTGGATGGTGTTTTGAATCGAGATGGCAGCATGAACCTTTCAAAACTGTGTAGGTTTTAAGTACTGATTTCAAAACTGCAATGACCTTTTGGTTTCTTAGAATTCCTGAGTAATGCTGGGTATGAGGCTGCTAGTATTCAGTTGTACCGTACTAGTCAATTGGCACCATATACTCAGACTCCATTAACACAAAGGTTCTATGAAATAAGTGGACATCAGCAGTGCATTTGTAAGTGCTCGGCCAAATCACTTTCCAGGGCATGCATCCAATTAATTGAAAATAAGATTCAATGACAGACAGACAATGTGTTCAGTGAGAATGAAGCTTCCTGACGTAGGACAGAATGTCCCTATTTTCATCTAAGAAATGTTAGGAGGGTATGTAACAGAAGGGGGGGTGGAGTATAGGGCTGTGGGGAAAGTGGCTGGAGAGAACACCTGTCAGTGGGGTTATCAGACTGGGAGCATTAAGAAGGCCTCCTCCAACAGGCATCGGCCCAGCACACACAGAGAGAGTGCACATAGAGATCTCCTGATCCTTCTAGAACTGCAAAACTCCCAAGATGTAGGAGTTTGCTGCAGGAGGGGGGGGGAGGATTTTGTGAGCAAAGCCAGCAGTTTAAAGAGCTTAAGTAGCAGGATGGAGAGAAGCATGATTAGCGGGTGCGATTCTGCTTGCCAGCACTTAAGGATTAAACTCACTCATTCCCCACCTCAGCGAATTATCTTATTCCTCAGAAGAGCCAGGGCTGCACAGAGGAGAAAGGAAAGAGAGGAGTGCATTTTGTTCTTCGTTTATCCCAGCCCAGAAACTGTGCACAAGGATATACCCGTTTCAATGGCTGATGCTTGCTTCTAGGACTGAGACGAGTGTTCATTTCTTTTCCTCCATGCAAACAGAAAAGCAAACAAAACCCAGAAGCCCACCGTCTTCCCCTAATATGCTGAGCAGCACATCTATTTTGGCCATTGTGCCACTATGTGTGTGTGGGGGGGGGTCACCTCACATTTTCACAAGCTCTGATGATGGCAAAGGCAGGCCTATGGGGAAGTTCATGTGAAAAGCACCAAAGCATTCCTTGAAGATGTTGTTGCATAGGCATGGTCCTCCTGCTATTCCCTTCCTATTGGGAGGGAGGAAGCTCTGCCACCTTGGTGAACGAGAGAACACTGGTGTCAGAATTCTGTACTCTTCCTGACTGACTGTGTGGGGGAGAAGAGCAGTAAAGGAACAGAAATAGCTGCATCTAATTACACATGCATTTCAGCGATGCCATCTCTGTGGTCAGTCCCTAGGCGGCACCTGTTGGGGATAAATGTTATTAAGTTTACTGGGTTGTAGCTGCCAAAATGAGACTAGCTTGTACATTTGGGCCTCAACAAATTCATAAGCCACCTTCCCCATCAGACTGGGTCCAAACTATTGGGAAAAGATCCATCTGGAGTGTGTGGGTGCTTTGTATACTACGTTTTAAATTTCTGGTTAGTTTTAAGCTGTTAAATTAGGTTAATTTGTATTATTTTATACAAACTTGTGTGGATTGATTTTTTTGTAATTATTTATTGGTGTTATATTTCTAAGTGTGTGTGTGTGTGTGTGTGTGTGTGTGTGTGTGAGAGAGAGAGAGAGAGAGAGAGAGAGAGAGAGAGAATGGCTATATTTGTTCACCCAATATGTTATAAACCACTTTGGGCACAATTTTGTGAGAAAATGGCATACAAATAAACTGATGGTGATGATCAGCTCTGAGCATTTGGAATATAAATTGAATGAATAATAACTATTAGTTTATTAATTAATCCCCCAACAAGCCTCCAAGGGAGGAGCTGACTATGAGGTCTCCTTTGGGAATTAGGAATCCTTGCCTAGTACGTAAGTAGAGAGAGCTGTTAGCATCCAATCCTAGGAGTAGCCCTGTTCGATCAGAACAAAGGCCCATCGAAGGCAGGCCTTCTGCTTCACACAATAGCCAACCAGATGTGAAAAGGAAGCTCAGAAGCAGCAGGAGTGGAATAGCTCACTCCCACTTGTGTTCTTTGGCAGCTGCTATTGAGAAGTATGCGCCTCCAATACTGAAAGCAGAATACAGAGCTATCATGACCCACAGCCATTGATAACCTTATTTTTCATGTCATATCCCATTGAAGTTGGTGGTCATCCTTACACCTTGTGGGGGGCCGGGCGAACTCCATAGTTTTAATGATGTCCTTTTATCTGTCCTGAATCTCCCCACATTCAACTTAATTGGATGGCCTCAGGTTCCAATATTATAAGAGACGGAGGAATGCTCATCCACATCCATTTTCTCTGTACCAAGTACCACTTTATACACTATCCTTCCTGTCGCCTGCTCCTCACTCACCTATTTTTCTAAACTAAAAATCCCCAAACGTCGTAGCCTCTTCTCACTGGGGGAGCTGCTATGTTACATCCTCGTGTTGCATAAGCATCTTCCCCTATACCACACGGCGCCACAGCTTGGGTTCAATGTTCTGCTTGGCCAGTCATTAATCTTTGCCATCTTGGGCTTTTATAATTGGATTTCCCAGGTCACATGGCGAGATAAAAAGCCCTCAAATCCACCGTAACAAAATTGGGTTACCCACGAAGACTTAGCAGGGAGTGGGGGGAGGGGAAAAGAGCACAGAGCAAGGTGAAGAACTCTGATGCTACCTTCTTAGCAGTCTTGGACCAGCTGCCTTGCCGCCTGCAGCTGCGGAGCTAAGGCAGCTCTGTGGAATACCTTCTTCATCACCCTGGAGGATTCCGCGTAAGATACTTTTATTTCGGTCTTTTTCATCTCCTCCACCCGGAAAAGGGTGAGTCAACCAATCTGAAGAGCTGGAACAAACCGAAGAGCTAGAGGGGCTTCAGGAACCAACGGAGGAGGAGGAGGAAGGAGAGGAAGAAGGAGACGGTGAGATGGGGAGTGGAGCAAGTGCAGAGGATAAGGAACTTGCCAAGAGGTCCAAAGAACTGGAAAAGAAGCTACAGGAGGATGCAGATAAAGAGGCAAAGACAGTCAAGCTGCTACTGCTCGGTAGGTGTGCTGTAATGAGATCTTGTAGGGGGTGGGCTGCAAGGGGAACACACCACTGGCAAGCAAAATGAGAAGGCAGCTCTCTCCAGGGCTTCCTATACTATCACACGTTTCCCAATGAAGAATTCCAAAGGGAAAACATAGCTATTCTGTACCAACAGCTGTGGATGGGAGAGGAAAGTGTTTCATCTCAGTAGGGTGCTGGTGGCAAAAATAATAAAAATGGGAAAGTGCCTTGCAGTTCTGATTTAACCATGACGCACATGGAATGAAGGCAGCCACCCTCTGGTATGCCATTTTCCAAATTAGGCTTTTCCCAGACGATGACAAAAACTATGGTTGACGTTGCTGCCAAGCAACAGATCACTACTGCCCAAATAGCCAAGGACCGTGAAATATGGCAGAGAAATAGCTTGTTTCAGCACACACCGAGAAACAGAATTCAACAAATAAAAATAGAAAGCATGTTTTCCTAAGTAGCACCAGATGGTTCCTCATTAGCTTGATGACCTCCTAAGTCGGCCGATCAGCCGACAAGATCTCAAGATCTCTCAGCCCATTGGCTAGAACAAGATGTCACAAACACCCCTCTCCAGCAAAGCAGTCTCAGGCACCACAGTTGTCAGAAGAGATTAAGTGCTTCCAAGGAGAGTCAATGGCTGGAGGAGAACAAGGAAAGATATGGCCCATGTTATTTTTGAATGTGCAAAACCATGTCTCTTGCATTCAATCTCCCTTCACAAGAAGAGGTGGCAAATTGATCTGTCAGCCTTTTCACGGCCTTTTGGAAAAGAGGAATGGAGCCTGACATAGGTCCCTATCCTCTCAAAGGTGGATATATAAACACCCTATCTAAAGGACATTAGGTATTCTCAATTGGCTCTGCCAAAATAATACACCCTGAACTTGCCCTTTAAGCCATCCTAACCTTATTTCCATCACCAGCCCATAAGGACAGTTGTGAGGCTCGAGAGATGAGGTTATAATGTGATAGTTATTTGCAGTCAAGCTTTCTTTGAATGAACAGCAAAGGCTTTTCAGATCCTTGGGTCTGTGGTGTCAATCCAGGTTTGCTTTCTTATAGGACTTAGAAATGAATTCATGTTACAAAATTCAGCCTTTACTTGATAATAGCTATAGAAATTGAAAGCATTCTGTCTGTTTATATTGATGTTGACTTAGGTATTATCCTTTTGCTGAAAGAGTATTGATTGATTCCAGGTATTATCCTTTTGCTGAAAGAGTATTGATTGATTCCAGGTACCCTTTGTGCTTTGGGGTTGGTGTTCAGACCAGCAATGGAGGTTTGTTCCTATGTGGTTTCGGTGTCTATCCCCTGAACCTCTTGTCACTAAACATGAAAGGAGACCGGCAGAAGGCCAGCATCAAAATAGATTGACTTTCATTCTAGACAGCTTTACTGAGAGGCAAGAGTGGGTCCTCTCCCCCCCCCCCGCCAAGTTGTAATTCCATGCAATGCTGAACATTCCCACTTGATATCTTCAGACACCTTCAGTGATGCTTCATGTGCCCCTCATGTGCCCCTCAAAGCTGGTTATTGCCATAGACTGGCTCCTGACAATTATTTAGTGCGTGAGGTGGAGGGGAGACAAGTATGGGAGTATAAAATTATGCATTGTGCAGAGAAAATGGATAGAGGAAAGGTTTTGCACCTTCTCTCATAATACGAGAGTGACACTGAATGTCAAGGGATACAGGGCAGATAGAAGGAAGTATTTTGCACACCACATAAACTGCAGTATTTGCTAGCACAAGATGTGGTGATAGCCACCAACCTGGACAGCTTTGGAAGAGAATTAGAGAAGTTCGTGAAAGATAAGGCAATCAATGGTTGCTCATCAATATGGCCGCATACTACCTACAGGATCAAAAGCAGCAGGCCATCTGAATAGCAATTGCTAGGGAGCCACAGCAGAACTGGAATATTACCCTCACCTTCTTCTGTCGGCTTACAATAGGCATCCGGTTTGCTGCTGTGAGAAGCAGGATGCCGAATTCAGTTAGCTCCTTGGTATAATCCATCAGGGCTCTTATGTTCTTATCCGTGGTTTTTGTGGCTGAGGACTTTCCAAGTATAACAAGGATGTGCAGTGCTCCTAGGAGTGTACATCTTCCCAAGCTCCTGATTGCTGCACATATAAACTCATCTGAATGATGCCCTGCCTGTGTGGCTCATAGCTGTGAGCTGTTTCCATAACCCAGGGATGGGGAATCTGTGGGCTACCAGATGTTGCTCTCTGCCATGAACTAATCTAGAATGTGAATTAGTGGGAAGAAAGTGACTAATGGAGATTTTACAGGAGGTGGCACAAAAGAAGTCTGAGACAAGAAAGCGCATGGTTAAAGAAAGTAGCTGGACATCTTGTAAAGTTGTGCGAGCTCAGTGAATTTTTGGAGTCCCATAGTGGGTGACCGTAGGTGCAGTTGAGATGCAGAAATGAACAGCAGTGCACAGTTTATTAATGGGCAAAGGAAAGGGAACACCTTGTGCCAGCTCATTCAATAGTGGTCTGAAAAGCACAGGCTTCTCCAGACACAAAAGCCTAGAGGATATAGGAACACAGATGTCACACCCAGGCCAGAAAGCCTGTTCACCCACCCAGCCCCTGAGAATTCAAAGATCAAGATAAAAGCACCTCTGGCATTCTACATGCAGCAGGAAAAGATGTTGCCACTCCCGCCTTTTAGCTCAGCCAAGTCAAAGTTTGAGAAATTAGAAACCACTGCTATTAGGAGCAGTGGGTTGCATGGAAACTCCTCCTGCATGGGAAAGAACTAGGATCCCATGTGCTTGCTCCAACAAAATGGCTTCTTGCAATAAACCTTCCACAGGAAGGAAAAAAAAAGAAGAGCATAGATCAAATAGCTGAAGTAGCATATATCAAATGTGCAGATAGCCTGTGCTTGCCTGCCACTGTGCAACATGGGTTCCTTCAGGTGACAGCAGGGAGGTTAGGATCAGGGTGATTAAGCCCTAATTCTAAGCAGCTTCCTGTTTTGGAATAAGCAGCTTAAGGTGATGAGATGAGGAAACATACTGTGGCTGCTGAAGAAGACTGAAGGGCAAGCGAAGAAGATAACTGTTGAGCTGGGTGGGGAACCTCAGGCCCTTTATCTGGCCCTTGGAATTCCCATCAGACCCATACCTCCTTTCCAGCCTTTCTCTGCACCCTTCCTTGTGCTTTTGACTAGCTGGAATGTGTCCCTGAAGTATGATGGTACTCAATTGCCAGGATGGAGGTGGAGGTGTGTATGTGTAGCAACCTCTTGACTACTGTTCAAGCATCTGATCTGTTGCTCCACCCACTTTGGCCTCTGGCTCCACCCACCACTGAGGGCTGCCCATAAGGCAATGCTGCCCTCAGGCTGAAAAAGCTTCCCTACTCCTGAAAAAGTGAGCACCTAAAGAACACACACTTCTAAGCCAGCACATCTAAAACGCAAATATCTACTGATGTGAGGTAAAATATGAATCAGTCCCAGTGGAAGTTACTATTATGAATCTACTTTGCAGCGGTGAGAAGGCCTCTGTAACTAAGCAAATTTTAAAACATAATTGGGACTATATTGTTGCCTTTTTAAAAATAGCCCACATTGGCTCCAGGTTGTCTCAACTTAGGGCTGTTGGCCGTCACTAGAATTGGAATACCTGTAGGTGGAGGTATGGTTTGATACAAACGTGGAGAGGGGCATTTATAGTGTAATCCTATGCAGAAGTAAATCCTATTGATTTCAATGGGGTTTATTCACAGGAAAGGAGGTATAGGAATGTGGTTCACAAGTGTGCCCTGCTTAGCAAAACCCAGGTACTTCCCTTAAATGAAAAAGTTGTCTAGACAACTATCTTGAAGGACTGATTTTTTGTGTTTAGTTCTAGTACACAAGGGAGAGGAACCTTCCAGAAGTTGTTGGGATTCAACTCCAATACACAGTCTGATTTGGCCCTAGGGCTAGTAATGTACATGGGGTATTTCCAGCTGACAATAAATTCATGCATCATTAATTCAATATGGCAGTAATGCTAGCTCCCATGCAACATCAGCTCCCATGTAACAGAAGTGATGGTGGCCTTGCCCAGAGGGCAATGGTAGCTGATCCTCATTAGGACTGGTAGGGCAGAAGGCAGATGTGCCAACAGTAGGTGGAGCCAGAACCAATGACAGGCAGAGCCACGGCCTGATTGGTTGCACTGAACAAGACAGGCAAGTAGCGGCTGGCTTCTGGGGCAGACTGAGGTGGAGGGGCTATTCCCCATTCGCCCTATTAGACCAGCCTCCATTGCTGAAGGAGGATATCTGTACTCTGGTTTGCTGACCGGGGTTAGCCTAATTGGCACATCAGTAAAGTGCTGAACCTGCAAATAAAAGATAAAAGTAGGGGTGCCAGTTGAGGAGCGGCAGTGGAGAATGTGTCACTCCCTGATTCCAGGCCACATATTTCGTGGGAGCACCCCCATCTACAAGTTTACTGGGCAGCTTTTTTTGGAACTAGATCCAGGAGCAAACCTTGGAACCATGCTGTGAACTGCTCCTACGCACCTGCCAGGGGTGATATTCACATAGCCTGGCCTACCTAGTAATTTCAAAGGCGGGTCTTAGTTTACCTAGTCATTGTTGGCTTCAGTCTTTAACCTTCTACTTGTGCTGGGTTAACAGACAGCAATAGAAATGTTTAGGAGAGAGAGAGACAGAAAGAGATACTGAGATGGCCGCATCTCTTGACCTGGGTGCTTAAGGCTGAATGCCAGCCTGTGAGGAACCACAATTTGTCTGTGGCCTCATATCATCTGTAGGCAGTCTACCTTCTCCTTGAGTTAGATATAATTCCACAACTACTCGATTTTGGAATCTGAAATGGCACCCTAGGATGGAGTTGTGTTTCTTACTACTAGTGATTTCACAAGCAGAATCCAAGAGCTGCCATGACAATCATACAATCAAATTATTGAGTGCATTTAGCATACTAGCTTTCTCTCTGTGTGTGTGAGAGGGGGGGGAGAGGGGGGGAGATGGACAAAAAGAGAGATATCAGTGAGAAATAACCAAGAATAGCCAGGTGAGGATAAGAAAGAATCTTCCTGCCAGGCCACTTTGCCATCTAAAGAATAGGAACAGTGTACAGTGGTGCCCCGCAAGACGAATGCCTCACAAGACGAAAAACTCGCTAGACGAAAGAGTTTTCCGTTTTTTGAGGTGCTTCGCAAGACGAATTTCCTATGGGCTTGCTTCGCAAGACGAAATGTCTTGCGAGTTCTTGCGAGTTTGTTTCCTTTTTCTTAAAGCCGCTAAGCCGTTAATAGCTGCTAAGCCGCTAATAGCCGCTAAGCCGCTAATAGCCATGCTTCGCAAGACGAAAAAAACGCAAGACGAAGAGACTCGTGGAACGGATTAATTTCGTCTTGCAAGGCACCACTGTACACTGCAAGCACCAAGACCACAAATCCTTATTAGACTGAAGTTTTGTCTCCTAAACAGTTCATGCACAATACTGGGAGGAAACCTGAGGCATTTCAGAAATGAAAAATCAAAATATTAAAGCAGCCAGCCAAAATATTAAATCCAGCCTCCATTGGATCAAAGAGCTTCTATGAATGGTTGCAATTGGGGGGGGGAACCAATGGTAAAATGTTTTGATTTGAAAGGCAGTTAAATTGAACTTTTAATCTACTCCTTGATGATACCTGATGGGTGCTTATTTTTATATTTTTCATTACAAATATTGTGTATGTGCTTTTAAAATTCTATTTTCCCTCTCTGGTTATTTGCGGGGGGTTATTGGGTTGTTCTTGTTTTTATTTTGATTATGCATTTTGTGTTTTTATATTGTGATTTTATCCTGTGAACTGCCCTGAGGCCTGTGGGTATGGGCGGTATATAAATATAATCAATACTGTAATAATAATAATAATAATAATAATAATAATAATAATAATAATAGGTGGATACAGAAGGATCTGCTATATGAAAAAGGCTGTGTCGCTAAGCCCAGCATGGGGAGGCCCAGCAGAATGATTTGGCCTCTATCCAAATCCATTCCCTTGGTAACTTCCTTAGTAATTACTTTGCCTCTTTATTCTTAATGCATGTCGTAGGAACACTCCCAGCATTTCCTCTTTTGCTTTCTTGCATGACACCCTGGAAATGGCACAATCCATACCCTTTTGCAAGGAATGCTGCATTACCAAAGGCTTTCTACTTATAGAGAGACTGATGTAGTTGCACGGGGGAGGGGGGAGGGGGACCAGATTCCTCCAACTGTCTGCACTGTTCCTTTAACATGCATCCCCTGAGAGGCTCGCATAATGCTTTCTGTTCCAGCAATAACTGAAACATATTTAACACTTTATTAGCAAGGCTGTGTCTTCTTCCGTGCAAGATCTCTTCAAAAAATCAACACCAGCGTCTTTAGTAGATACTCCAAGAAGCACACAATGCTGCTCAGATCCGAACTATTTTAGATTTTTAAAGTTTTTGTGTTTTTTTAAGAAAAAAAAATGTTTACCCCAGCATAACTGCAGCAAGACACAAGTAGACAGGGCATCTTCTCTCTCGAAAACAAAACAAAACAAAAGCCTCAAGATAAACATGGAAAGTGTCTGAAGTATCTGTTCCAGTTACAGATAGGTAGCCGTGTTGGTCTGCCATAGTCAAAACAAAAAAATTCCTTCCAGTAGCACCTTAAAGACCAACTAAGTTAGTTCTTGGTATGAGCTTTCGTGTGCATGCACACTTCTTCAGATATCTTCAGATATCTGAAGAAGTGTGCATGCACACGAAAGCTCATACCAAGAACTAACTTAGTTGGTCTTTAAGGTGCTACTGGAAGGAATTTTTTTGTTTTGAAGTATCTGTGTCCAAGAGTATATTCCCTAGTGGAAGATTTGCAACAAACATCCCATGTCATTGGCGCCCCTTTTCATGCCAAAGATGTCCTTGTATAGCCAGAGAGTGTAAAGTGCATTTCTTTCAATTTCCATATTGAATGCAACAAAAACAATTTGTCAATAAAATTATCTCTTTCGGAATGGTATCTCTAAGTTCCAGTTGTTTGGTGGATTTCTCCATGAGAGTTGCCACCCAGACCTGCACAGCCACATTTCCAAAGAGATGTACTCTAAAGTCTGATGGGAAATTTTATTGCACTTATTTCAAGCTCTAAAAAAACCCCATACAAATAATGAACTGCTCCCACTCTCTTTTCTCATCAATGAAATAGACACGACTGGTCAGACTGGCAAACAACATTGGCCTATGAAGGAAAAAAGCAGGCATTTTCTAGTTAGCAGTTGGAGCAGTGATTTTGTGCTTAGCAGTTTGCATCAAGAGGCTTTACGCATTGCATTTTCAGCATGGACACGTTACATGTTCCCGGTAACTCCTTGCTCTTCTAATCTGTTGTAATTACAGTGGTACCTCGGGTTAAGTACTTATTTCGTTCCGGAGGTCCGTTCTTAACCTGAAACTGTTCTTAACCTGAAGCACCACTTTAGCTAATGGGGCCTCCTGCTGCCGCCGCACCGCCGGAGCATGATTTCTGTTCTCATCCTGAAGCGATGTTCTTAACCCGAGGTACTATTTCTGGGTTAGTGCAGTCTGTAACCTGAAGCGTATGTAACCTGAGGTACCACTGTAGTGTATACACCATTTTAGAGAGAGAGAAATGTAGCTTCTTCAAGTGTTAGTTTCAACTAATATATGGTACAGATCTGTAACATTTAACTGCAAAAATAGAAAGGCTGCTGAGGGGCGGGTTCCATTTTATAATAGTTTCACATATTTTTGTTTCAACTCCCTGCAAATAAAAAGACTAGGAAATTAGTCTGAGGGATTCAAAGCCAACCTGTTCCTTACTGTGCTAGTTTTCAGTTAGCAGGGATGGTGTGGGTGTTTTTAACACAGGAGAACATTAAATCATTGAATCCCTGCCTATAATCTGAAGCAACAAAACCATTTCTACCTTAGAACATTAGACTGTAACAGCGGAAGAGAATGGAGGGTCGGGGAGTGAAGGAAAACTGAAACAGGTATATTCTTGTTTCCTTAGCAAATATTCTTAAATATTTTGAAGTTTGGAGGGAGAGAAAAATGCGAGCTGACTTGTCCTCTGTTCATACTCCCTACCTGTGGAATCTTAATTGAGACCATGTTGAAACTCTGCAAAGGAATTCTATGGAGGATAGTATTTTAAACTTTGTTGTGCTACACTGTAATGCTAGGAAGGAAAGACGGGGAGGGAGGAGAGGGGGAACGGAAGCAAGACTAACACCATTTCTTCTGAAACCGTTTGCCACATCATTCTCCTGCATGTGTGGATTAGGCCCAATCGATAAAGCAGCCTTTCAGAATAATTTCATAGGGAGAGAAAAAATATTACTGGTGTATATTATTGGTTGATGTAGAAATAATATATGAAGAGTCAGGTCCAACAGCAACAGGCTTTACTGCAGTTATAAATAAAGTTGTAGACAGGTCTTCAACTTGATAGAATGCTTCAGTATTCAGGGTAGGGTGTCTTTTAATAGGCCAGGGCTCCACTTTGGGATATATATCAAGAGACATCAAACAATGCACACACCACCCTGCTTATATTACTAAGCAAGCCTTTGCCCTCCCAGATATCTGGGACTGGACTTCAACACTGGGTTGAACCTCAGTTACTGCACAAAGAATGGGGTGTGTGGTATTGCCAAGATGCAGGGCAATAATGAGCAACAACACCTCCTGCAGCATGTCTCAAGCTCTTTGGGCTGTCGAGTTTGCTAGCCTATGCTCCTGTTCCCCACGATGTATAATTTCCTCCCCCCCCCCAAACCATCATGCCCACCTTACATCCCATCCATCGCTTTCAAAATGTCAAGTTAAAAATCTGAATTAGGTGCACAAAATTGCAAAACACCACCTTTCAGAAAGCCAGCTGGATATAAGCACAAATGAAGCGTGCCAGTTTGACCTATCTAATGCCACCTGCAGTTTCTAAAGCTCCTGTATACTGCCATACAGACGTGTGCAGCTATCTTGCTCAAGCAACTAACTGTCCACGTGAATAGTCCATCCATATGTGCATCAGAGGAGGTGGTGGTGATCACTGATGTTCCTCCACAAACACGAAGCCACATGTCCCCTCTGATCTTATGTCACCCATATGAATAGGCCACGGGCATTTATTTGCATAAGCCTGCTGACCTAATGCCTGAACTGGGGAACTTGGCAATGGAAAGACATTCCAGTAAGAAAATATAAAATAGTTACGTAAGTGCCAAGACAAAACGACCCCTGTCTTTTAGCAAAGTGATCTGCATGTGTATCTTTCCCCATATTCTGCCATTAATCTGTTTCCTTTTACTTCTTTCAGGTGCTGGAGAGTCAGGCAAGAGTACAATTGTCAAACAGATGAAGTGAGTATTGCCTTCTAGACTGGGGACCAAGAGCCCTAAAAACAGGGGCGTCCTTGAGCCCTTTCCTTCTGCGTTGCTATCCCACACCAACCCAGAGTAGCACATTTAGAGGCTGTTGTTGGCAACAGGACTGAGCTGGGACAAATAACTTAAACAGATTATGGAAGGCTTAAAACACAAATAAAAATAGCATTTAGTTAAAAGCAAGCTAGGGCAACATGGAATAACTGCTTGCTTCACAAGCTGATCCTGAGCAGGATGAGGAAGAAATAATGCTTTATATGCTATAGCACAGAGATGGGGAACCTATTGCCCTCTAGATGTTGCTGGACTACAACTCCCATCATCCCTGACCATTGGCCATGCTGACTGGGACTAATGGGAATTGTAGTCCACAACATCTGGAGGGCACCAGATCCCCAGTTCCTGCTATAGCAGATTCATTGACTAATCTACATTAATTTCCCTGCACATGGTTTTAGTAATCCTCATAATTATAAGCCTGCAATAAAGGCTGATGGCAAAGTCCATAATGTCAGATTTCTAAGCCCTGTGGCTTATGAACTGACAAACAAACAGCAAAAGATAAATGCAGTTCTGTTACTCTTCCTTTAGTAGCCTTTAGTATTCCCTGGGATACTCAAAACTTTCTGGGAACTTAGATTTAACACCAGAGTGAAAGTGCAAACCATACAGGAAGAGGCATCTTAAACTGTAGCAGTAACCAATGTGACTACACCCACACCCACCTACCCTACTCATGAATTCCAACAATAGAAAAGTGACCTACAAACTTAACAGCCATCATTTTAATACACAGGCCTTCAGTGAAAGGGCAGCTAATTATATATCATGAGGCATCTTGGCAACATTTTCCTACAAATCCTTTATAGGTGATGACCTTATACATCATATCTGTCCATGTATCTAGGACTTACAGCCTTCACATTCAAGTAACATACAAATAAAACTCAAGGCCTTTCAATGGAATAGGCAGTATTCTCATTTTTGCTGCACAATTAATGGGAGCAATTTATTGTTCAGGGAAAATGTCAAAACTGCTGCCCCATGGAGTACAATCAGGCACGGGGCAAAATGTGTTCCTCACCCAGACATGGTCATCTCATCCAATGTGGTTTGGGGCAGGTTTTACTCTGTGATGTCTTAGATTATGGTCCTTTTAAAAAACTTTCTTCCCCCAAAGCAAATAGATGCCATTTATTATGCATCTCTATAAAACGGGTAGAACTTCTCAAGAAGATCCAGAGTGGTTATTTCATCTATGGCGACTGTTCCCTCTCCCCCGCCCCCCTTCTTACCCAGGATTATTCATCAAGATGGTTACACGGAAGAAGAATGTTTGGAGTTCAAAGCAGTTATTTACGGCAACATCTTGCAGTCCATCTTGGCCATCATCAGAGCCATGACCACCCTGGGGATTGATTATGCGGATTCAAGCCGAGCGGTCAGTATCCTTGTGCATGACAGCAGCATGTTTTCATTGAGCGAATGAGGATCTCTGGAAAAGGGGAGGGCCAAGGCATTTGCAGCTACAATGTGGCTGATGTGCTAAAAAGGGACCTGCTATTAAAGTTTGTTTATTTGTGTTCAAGGTCAATATGTATAATCATACAACAGGAATGCCATTGCCACTAGATACGTTTCCTATCTTTATTTCCATGGGATGTTCTGAAGACAAATAGGTAGGAAAGGACAGGTGGAATATCCAAGCACCAGAACAGTAAGAGTTAGTGTAACTGTGATCTCAATAGCACTGTGCTGCACACTTCATCAGATATCAAAAAGAGATAGATTTGGGCTTCAGCCTCAAGTCGAAGCAGCTATGGGATGATGCCACCTGGTGGCTAAAGACCACTTTTCAAGAGCAGTAGCCATAGATTCACCGGAGCTGATTCATAGAAGGGCTGTAACTCAGCAGTAGAGCATCTGGTTTGCATGCAGAAGGTCCCCAGCATCTCTGGAATGGGTTGGGAAAGATTCTCTTGTATGAGATACTGGTGAGGGCACTGCCAGTCAGTGCAGGCAATTCGGAGAGAGATGAACAGCTGATCTGACTCTGTATAAGGCAACTTCCTTCGCTCCTAGAATTATGGTGTCAGAATAAGACCTCCAGTGGTACCTAGGCTGTGGCCACTGTTGCACTTTACCTTCTCCTACCTAACACCATTAATGGTGAGAATCAAAGTACTTACTGAAAAAGGTAAGAGTGAGAGTGTGCTGGGACACCACCCAACACATGATGTTTCTGGAAAGAAGCCATGTTGGAGCAGGTCACCACACAGAAGGTGCCAAGATGGTAGCACACACACCTGCATCCATGTGAGTGGTAATGTGGAAGCACAGACACATTTCTAGACCAGCTTTTCCCCTACATGTTACAGCTTAAATCATCTCCAGCAGATGCTTACTGTATTTGCACCTTCTCATAATACTTCCCAATAAATGCTCAACTTGAGAAACCATCGACCAACCATAGGAGGTTTTTTGTTGTTTATTAAATCTCCAGACCAAAGTTGATTTGCTGCAATTTGAACTTTTTCTTCAATTCCTTGTCAATAATGGCCCTGGTAAACAACTGTTCCTCCCTTTTTTTTAATGCATTGTTGTCCTCTGATTTGATGCATGCCCTGTAAGAAGACCTCTGCAAAGTCAGAAAGGAGGAAATTATGAAGTGCCCAAACCGTGCGGCTAAAAACAGGTTGTGAGGGTGCAAAATACAAACACTTGAATATGAGGTTCTGCCGTACCCTTGTCACCAAGGAAACCACAGTCTCCTTACAGGCTCTGTCTCTTTACAGGATGAGGGGCGACAGCTGTTCAACTTGGCTGACTCCATCGAAGAAGGAACCATGCCTCCAGAGCTAGTGGACTGTATAACCAAACTCTGGAAGGATGCAGGTGTTCAGGCCTGCTTTGAGCGAGCCGCTGAGTACCAGCTCAACGACTCTGCCTCCTAGTAAGTTGGTCCCTGTGGAAGCATATTGGGGAGGGGAGAGGCAATATTGCCAGCAGAAGGGGTTGTGGCAGGGAGACTTCAGAGAGAGAGAGAGAGAGAGAGAGAGAGAGACTGCCATGCATTTATATAGTACATTTCGGCTTTAGCTAGTGCCCTCCAGATATTTTTGACTACAAATCCCATCAGCCCCAAACATATGTAGTACACAAAGCAAACGAACTTGCCCTGTCAGGCTTCTCCATCTTTTGAAATGCAGCAAGCTTCTGCAGATCACTTCTTTCCTTGTGCCATACCATAGCGTTCCATTCAATGCTGCACAAGAGCTCTACTTGTACAACTAGACTTTCCCCTCCTCCTCTCTCCCCATGCTTTGGAAGGACCCCCAATCCTCCAGAGCAGATCTTGAGGATGGAGAGGGTGGGGATGGAGATGAAAGAGTAAGCTCCATTGTGCAAGCGGAAGTCTGCTGTGGGAATGCAACAGGAACCCTGCATGCAACCCACGCTCTCCAAGCCGGTAGTCCCCTTCCCATAGATGCCAAGCAGCGTGGGAGTCACTTCCCTGCAGAGAGATCCCACATCACTGGAGAGCAGGTGTGAATGCAGCAACATGGGTAAGACTAGTCATTTAAGTCTTTTCCACCTCACTGGCACTCGACAGGGTTGAAAGCCAGTGGGAAAGATCCACCATTTGGCTGGGCTGTTCATACTTCCCAGGAGTGTGGGATCAACTCACAGGAAAGAGGCTCCCATGCAACTGGCGAGTATGGATAAGAGAGGTGACCCCACCCAACATGTGTGTTAAGATGCTCTTTGCTTGAAGTGAAAAAGAACAGGAGCATGACAAATGGTCCCTAGTCTGCAGACCTCCAGTGCCACATCACTAGTGCTCCAGGGTGCTCTGCAATTGTGCCACCACAACCAAGCCTTCTAACAATGCAACTGGAAGCTTAGGGCAGGTTAGATGTGCACTACCTACTTGCTTTCTGCTGTACACTTTTAGGGCAGTTTAGGGCCTGGGGAACCAAAAGCGCTGGCTATGCCCACAGTAAATATAATGGCTGCCAATTTCCTTGTGGAGCAATTGACCAGGAGCCATCCCTTTCTATTTTTGCTAGCTCTGTTGGCGGAAGTTTGAAACAAACAGAGGTCTATCCTAGCCATGACCAAAGGGCCTTGTATGCTTTTCTGGCAAAAGCAAACAGCTGTAAATTTAAACAGATCCAACCAAATACAACAGCCCAATAAACTGCAAATTAGTAACCCACAACAATTGCACAATTCTTGCAGTACCTTAGAGAAGCAGAGAGCCCTGGTAAATGTTTGCATGTGTTCTAAGCCACTGCATTAGCAGAGACAGTATTGCTGCTGGAGTCCTCTTTAACCTGTTACTCTCCATTTTTGTACAAGCAGAACATTTTGAGCCCAGTTCCCAGCTGCTCACATATGGTTTTCTGTGACAGCACCGAACACTTCCAACCACTTGGCTCTAGACAAGTCAAGGGGAATTACGTTCAGCCAAAAGGATGCAGTGGTCCAATCCTGCAAATTCTGGGTTCAACACCTTGCTAAGCCATGAAGACTCCAGATGGCTATGGGGAAGGGTCACTCGGCCTCAGCTTCCCATCTGGAAAATGGGGAATACAAATAGTGGTTTACCTCCCCAATTTGTGAGGATGAACCATTTATTACAAAGCCCCCACATGTGCTGTAGACGTTACAGCATTACTTCTCCATTTCCTTCTGCAGCTACCTGAACCAACTGGATAGGATATGTGCTCCCGGCTACCTCCCCAACGAACAGGATGTATTGCGATCACGAGTTAAGACCACAGGTATCATAGAGACAAAGTTCGGTGTCAAAGACCTCAACTTCAGGTGAGAAAGAAAACCCTTCTAGGTAGCCCTCCTTGTTCTTTATTCAATCACAGCACATTCCATGCCATGTTCCATCTGCCAAAAGGCAACATGGATAAACTCTGTCTATCTTAAAGATTGTCTCCTCCTGTATATGCCTGTGTACAGAGTACACTGTGCTTTATTCTCATGTGTGAAGTCCTACTCACTGCGCCACTACAGCACAGAAGTGTAGCAGGGCCTTCTTAGTTGTGTCCCCTCTTACTCTTACGGGATGCCCTTCCCAAGGAAGCCTGCATGGCCCCATCACTGAGTGCCCTCAGTTCTCAAAATGGTCTGTAGCTTCTATGATTTTTATATTTACTCTCTCTCTGCAGCAGCCATAGAAGTTATTTCCCCTTTTAATTGACCGCAGCTTGATTTTTGTTGGTGGAGCTATTCTACATATTCTGTTTTGCTACTTTTAGCCTTTTGATTTCTCTTTGGACATTTACTGTTTCAATGGTTGCTTGTTAGCTATTTCCCTGAAGATCAAAAGGGATATACATTTTTTCTAAATAAATATTTTGCCAATCTGTGTCAGTTTTACATTTCTGGTATTATCTTCATGTTTTTGTCTGAACTGTTGCATTATGCCTCCAGCCTGATGAACGGTAAAATATTCACCTGTTGTAAATTCCAATCATATGTTCATTTAAAGCTACAATGCTGAGGAATGACTCCTCCCTTCCAGCATGCTGTTTCAAACGGTTACCTTTGAAAATAAATATCATAATCATGACTCTTCTTTCTGCAGGATGTTTGATGTAGGTGGCCAGCGATCTGAGCGCAAAAAGTGGATCCACTGCTTTGAAGGGGTGACCTGTATCATCTTCTGTGGAGCTCTCAGTGCTTATGACATGGTGCTGGTAGAAGATGATGAAGTGGTATGTTTTCTCGCTCAGACTCTTATGAGATTAATTATCGCTCCACAAACATGCCTGCATCCGCTTTAAAATCCAACAACCACCACAACAGCTCCCCTGTCCCACAGAATAAAAAATAACGCCAGGATCTTACCCTTACTTACATAAAGAGCCTGCCAAAAGTTGTTTTTGAGTAGAGCAGGGAGGAAAATTAGGGCCTTGGGGGAACTAGTAGTATGTTTCCAAATTGTGCTGCTCTGATGCAAATCCAGGAAGCACTGGCTTAACCCCTGCCTGAAAATAAATATGTCTCTGTGAGCATACATCCTAGAACCAGTTGATTCCAATCCTTCCTGTGCACTTTAAGGATTGGTAAAAGCCTCCAATTTACATCAATGGTGATATCAAAGGCAGGGCAGGCTTTTCAAGGCACAGGAAGGGCAAGAATTTTACCCCTAGTTTTACTAAGAATTCCTCCTGAAAACCCCAACGATTCTGAAAGGAGAAGTATACATCACAAACACTTCCCTATTGCTGCAAGACCTATATGTCAAATGCTGTTGAACTGTATTTCTTTGAATCCTTCTACGGGAAAAGGAAATTCTATTACTTCCGCCAATTCTATTACCTTCACCAGTAGAACTAGGCTGCTGGAAATCTTACCAAAAGGAAGACATAGAAGTTGTGCCAAAAAAGTGCATCAGCTATATAGCCCTCCCCCCTGCCCCCAGTTGATCATAGACTTTCCATCAAGACTAATTAAAATAAGAGAAGGAAGCGATAGATGGTTTACCCCACCATAAGCAAATTTAGTCGCCAAGCACAAAGGGGGGGAAGCAGCATGTCTGCAGCAACTGTCCACTGAAAGGAGGGAATCCAAGCTTGTTTTGCAGCCTGTTCCATACTTTGTAATTAGGAGGATCAAAACCTTATAGATGCAGTGCTTTCTAACTTATTTATATCGCTGAGAGAAAAAACCAACAGAGGAGTTAGAACTTTGGCTAAGAACAGTAGGCCAATACTGGTAAGACAGTAGATTAATGCCACAGCAACAGCAGTATTTTATAATGTGGGTGTGTTTTTAAACCCCAAAGCCCGAGGGCATTTAGGAAAAATCCTTCTATTACAATTAGATTAACCAAGAGAGGCAAGTAGATGCATCAACCACTGAGCCAAACAGCTCCAGTATAGACTTGCTCCAATTTCAGTTTAAGAACAAGAACAAACCTGTGCAGAAAATGCCATGACACACGTACAAACGTTGCTACTTTTGCTTGGTCACCTCCCATTTGACTTCACAATAAATGGACTTTTTAAAATACTGCCTTTCAACATTGTTCTACGCAACTTTTACATTTAGAGTTGCATCCCAAGCTGCAGGAATGGAATGGATTATCTGCTCAGACCACAGGAATTCTCCTTCTCCTGTAACTCCCTGCTCATCCTCAGGGCACACAGGGGCTGCAAGGGGAATGTTTTGGAAGTAATTGAGAAGCATTTGGGGGTAATGGTCAAGCATTGTGTCTAGAAGCATACCCTACGGATAGAATGAACAGATGTTTTACGCAAAGTCTTTGAGCTTGCTTGAACTGTGTGGTCTTCCCCTCTAGAACCGCATGCACGAATCCTTGCATCTGTTCAACAGTATATGCAACCACAAGTTCTTTGCTGCCACCTCCATTATTCTCTTCCTGAACAAGAAGGACCTCTTTGAGGAAAAGATCAAGAAAGTACATCTCAGCATTTGTTTCCCAGATTATGATGGTGAGTTGGTCGACCGTTTCCTTCTTACAGTAGCCAGTCATCAAGAGCCAAGAACTGCTTCACATATGATGTAGAAACACACACTAAACATGGGTGACACATCATGTGCCATCTCTGACCCACTTCCTCCTCTGCTATAGGAAAGGAGGAATCAACAAGCATCCCCTCCTCTGACAGGAGACTGCATTAGATCAAAAGCCCTTCTCTGAATGAGGAACTCCCCAATAAGCTTTCAACAACATTTATAGCCTCTTCCTTGTTTCTCTTACGCACACAGGTCCCAATACCTTTGAAGATGCAGGCAACTACATCAAGCTTCAGTTCCTAGATCTGAACATGAGAAAAGATGTGAAAGAAATTTACAGTCACATGACTTGTGCCACAGACACACAGAACGTCAAATTTGTATTTGACGCAGTCACGGATGTCATCATCAAAGAGAACCTCAAGGACTGTGGCCTCTTCTAAGACTTCAGCTTTTTAAGAAGGTAATTTCCATTCTAAGGAACATAATCAACAATAGTAGTCCTCCTATGGAAGAGACTGGTGAATGGGGATCTTTAGCACTCACTTAATTCACAGAGCTGCTCCTGTAAATTTAAAACCACACTTAACCTTGCATTTGAGTTTACTCCAGCAGCCCAAGTTCACGAAAGTTCCTTCAACAAAAAACAAAAACCACTTATTTTAGCAGTTATCCTTAGCTTCCCCAAAAGTGCAGCAAGTTTTGACTTTGATGTTAATTCATTTTTAGTAAGAATTTACTGTTCATTTCAAGAATTTGGAGAATGTTTCTGAATAGGGAGAGCTAACCATAAATTCTGAGGCAATTCCCATGCAGATGAATCAGACTGCCCCCCACTACAAAGTGTAGCAACTACATCCGAGTATTTATAATGTACATCAGCCTAAATGAGAAATAAAATCATTAGCAACCTGACATTATAATTTGTCTCATGCGTTTATGTATTTGTGTAGAAGTCTTTTGTGGTGTTGCAGGATCTAAATGTCATGTTACATTGTATCTAATTTCTCTAAATGATCTCTCACCTTCTTCATCAATTAGGAAAAAGGACTTGCAGTTAGCTTCACTGTTCTGCTTGAGCAGAGCCAACGGAGTAAATAAAAGCCACTCAAAGAGTCCACATTTTTCTATAACCTACCCATGGCACAAACTGTATACTTCCAAGAACATGCCACCAAAAGGGCATGAAGGAACAAAAGCTAAGAGCCTCCCATCTCTAAGCCATTTTCTTTGGTAGTTTTCCTCCTTTCTGAAATTCTCGGCAATCTGTAAACCCTGACGACAACCTGAAAGAGAGCCAACACAATCTTGTCTGCAAACAATGAATCATGCAATACACTGGACGTTTGTGTGTGCATACAACTGAGATCTTTAAAAAGCATCAACCTTCTGTGGGAACGACACAATCAGTGCTTTTGTGGATTCTTCAGCAGAACCTCTGTATCTACAAATGGTCTGAACGGTGATTCTCAATGAAAATCCTAAAGGGTTGAATGTGCAAGTCCAACAATTTCTAGATTACACATGAAATCTAATTATCAGTGTGCAAATTAACCAAGAAAGTTAAGTAACATTTATCAAACCTTCCAAGTAGATTAGTTTCAGTTCTTTGGAACTGGTGCAATTTGTCCCTACAGCCTTAAGTAAATAATTCATTTTCTTTCTAGTATCCAGCTTTCCCAATATTAGAAGGCCTGGTGAACTTAAGACTGATTTTTTTCCTCTATACCAACTCACCCCACTGAGTACAGCTGTACTGATCCCAGCCCATTGCTTACCGCTTGCTGTGAGACAATTCCTCTTGCTGTCTCTCTGGTCCCCGATGGAAAGAGGTCACAGCAATGTGTACAAGCAACCTATTGACATCACAGAGTCAGAAAACTTCTCCACAACATAGGAAATAGAAAGAAAACATACAAACTGGAAATGGTGACGTCAGGATTTTCACTCTGCTATTTAGCACTGTATCGTTCTTGATCATTTGTAAATAAGTCGTATGTTACTGTAGATAGGATTCTCTTTGATATCAATATTTACTTCAGAGAATGGCTTAGGCATTAGAACATTGGAAAATAAAGAAACGTGCATTAAAAATGTGGATACAGTGTTACCTATTTTGAAAAGTAACAAATTCCTCTACAGGTTTTATTTGTGTTTTCAAAAGCCACCCAATACTTTTTCAAACATTCTACCAGGCCAAATATTATAAGGATCGTATGTTTAGGTGGTTTAATATTGTACCTGGAAGACATGGATTCAAATTTCACCTGAGACAGAGACTCACATACCCAAAGGCCGCCTTCATTTGTCTCCTTGCCAAGAGGGGAAACAAATCACAAAGTAGCTAGTGCCTAAACCTGGGAGAAGTGAAGTGTGTAGAATAGCACACAATGCATCCGCAGGATGATTCATTTAACCATAGTTAGTGGCTTAGCACAGGGGTCGGCAAAGTTTTTGTGGCTTGGGCCAGTTCACGGTCCCACAGACGCCACGGTGGATCAGAGTGCATGCACATGCATGCACAATCACTATTTCCAGTGCTCCTTCTGGTGTGGAGGAGGCGTGTGCAGTTTCGCATTGGCTGCAGGAGCTTCAGCTTCCCACTGGTTGCAGAAGGCGGTCCTCGCTCTGCTCTGCGCCGGTTTAGCGCGGCGCATGGGAGCCGACCGAGCGGGCAGCGGGGGTCCATTGGCCAGTTAAACGACCCCCATGGACCGCTTGTTGCCCATGGGCCTTAGGTTGCCGACCCCTGGCTTAGCATTACATCCAGACATGGCCAGTGAGTGAAAGACCAAAGGATGTCTTGCACATGCACGTTTATCAAACAGCAAACCTCAAGTCAGGAGGTACATTCAATCTCAAGCAGTTCTTTCCAGTTGAAGTGTTTTACACATTTAGTTTGCAGTTCATCCCTGCAGGTGAAATATGTATGTATGAAATCGGCCCTCACAGAATGGCCTTGGGCAAGTGACATCGACTCTGTTTCCCTTTTGTGAAAAGTGAATAGAGTTGATGCAAGCTAAACATTAATTCACCAAGAGTATTTTATGATAGTGTGTGCACAGAGAAACTGATTAAGCTAGTGATCTGCAATATTTTACCATGTAGTGAGAATTTTACCACTATTTCCTGTTAAGAATCATCATTCTTGGTAACAAACAGTCAAAGAAATGCTTTAGAAAATTATTGCTGTATCTTGCTGATACGACTTAATGGTAGAAATAACTTGCCACAATTCTCAGCCTTATCTGTGTCAACACACAGAAAATACCTGACACCATATTCTTCAAGAAACAAGACAGGAAAGTTTCAGTTATTTATATGAAGGTTCAGCACTACGAAAAAGCTAATCCAGCTAACTAAAATCTTTATTTGCAGAACCTGGAAGTGCTATTAAGAGAGACTGACAAAGATCCCTAGATCATTTCTAGAAATGGCTCCAATAAAGTGAGGAACATTAAGATTTTTAACTCACCATTTTAATATTGCCAATAACTACATCAGGTTGAAACTGTACATGACAAATTGGAAAAGAGTCTCAATGTAATGGTTCCAGCAAATAAATGTACTGACTCGGGTTAATAACATCACTACAGTAAAAACAATGGCAAACAGGAACTTGGCACCACATTTACAAAGTAAAAGCATGCGGTTGATACATTTTGGAAATCTCCTATGAGAAAAGGCCCTGGTAAATGCAGAACAAATTGCACTGTCTACAAAACTCCCCACTGGTTTAAGACCAAACACACACACAAACAATTAAGTGGTTGATTAAGTAGCTTTGTAGCAGCACTCTCTCCCCACCCCCTGCAGTTTGTAATTTTACAACTCACCTTTCTACCTAGAAGCCAATTCAGGCATTTCATGTAAGAAGATTTCCATCTGCTACATTAGTAGCACACTCGGTGATTTGGTAATCAGCATAAACCAGGCTAACCCCCTCCCCCAGCCATTAAGTCTGACAAGACTTGTTACCCTGCTACAGGAAATCTCTTTCAGGGGTGGGAGCACCTTACAGTGTTTGTAGCAGACTCATAACATTATACATTAGAAGAAGCCATTGCTTTAGCCATAAGAATCCTAAGGCCCTTTTAAGTAGTTGCAGTTACTGTATATCAAGTTCTGACCATACCAAGTTTTAAAAACAAAAGGTTCCTGCTAAGAGGAATACTTTCTGCGTGATCTGGTCACAATCATGTGCATAGTTAAGTGTTTTTTGTTTGTTTTTAAAACAAGTCTGTTTGCAAATAAGGAAATAAAATTTAGTAAATATATAGTTTTGATGGAAAAACCTTAAAAACAGAGCAGCTGTGGCTTATTAAAGAAAGAAAGCTACATATTGAAGGTCTGGGATCTCAACTTCGTAACAGCTGTACACATTTGAGACTATGCAATCCATATGATGCCTGGATGATTTAAAAAAAAATCACACTTAACAGTAGTTCCATTTTTGGAATTTTAACTTCCGCATCCCATATCAATAAAAAGGTCCCTAGTACAGAAGATTGTGCTAAAGAATGCAAGGATTTTTGCATGCTGTTTTCATTCCCCGGTCCTGTTCATGCTTGCAGCTGTCCCACAAGGCAGCAAATAAACAGTCCAGTTCTTAAAACGCAACATCCTGAAATGGAAATAATTTTATTTCATTAGGTGAAGCTCATGTTATAGCCAGGCAGCTGTTTATGCAATGCTAAAGCTCAGAAAAGACTACAAAGTTCATAAACTTACATTTCACTGTTATGCTCTCTTTTTAGTAGAGTCCACATTCTTTCAGGTTGTTTTTAATTATAACATCTGTAACAGCATCAAAAACAAATTGCACATTCTTTGTGTCAGTGGCACAGGTGAAATGGGTGTAAATTTCCTTGGTGTCTTTTCTTCGGTTCAGGTCTTCAAACTGGCACTGAATGTATGCAGCTGCCTCTTCATATGTATTAGAACCTGGAGGGGGAAAATGACAACTTCTACTAACTAACACCATTTTAAGGACTTGCAATTGACTTTACAAGTCTTTGAAAAGAAAAGTACTGTATTTTTCGCACCACAGGGCGCACCGGACCATAGGGCGCACCTAGTTTTTAGACGGGGAAATCAATAATAAAAATCTTTTTTCCCCCCAGCCCCAAAGAGCAGCGTACAGGCTGCGCACAACCTCTCCCTGCCGGAGGGGTTGTGCGCGGCTATGGCACAAGCCAAGGCAGTGAGCGGGATGGATCGCGCTGGCTGCTTTGGCTTCCTCTTTAGCACCACGCAATCCCTCCCTGCCGGGAGAGGCTGCATGGAGCTAAAGAAACCATAGCCCCGTGCAGCCTCTTCCTGCCGGAGGGGTTGTGCGCGGCTATGGCACAAGCCAAGGCAGCGAGCGGGATGGATCCCGCTGGCTGCTTTGGCTTCCTCTTTAGCCCCGCGCAATCCCTCCCTGCCGGGAGAGGCTGCGTGGAGCTAAAGAAGCCATAGCCCTGTGCAGCCTCTCCTTGCGGGAGGGGTTGCACGGGGCTATGGCACAAGCCTGCGTTCGCTCCATAGGACGCACACACATTTCCCCTCAATTTTTGGAGGGGGAAAACTGTGTCCAATGGAGCGAAAAATACGGTAACTGTTTCCAGTCATCACACTTTGCCATCATTTTAGGCTAAAGAAATGCATCTAGACCTAGGAAACTGTGTCTACACCTCTTAGATGAAGCAATCACAAAATAAGTAGTTTCATTTTAAAGAAACACAATCACAGCTCCATTTCCCCAAACAGGGCATATGCGAATCTTTTGTGATCAGAAATCTTTACCATTTACTTCTTTGCTTTTTTAGTGCAAATAGTGCTGCAGTCACGGGGTGCCATTAGCGAAGTACTAAATTGAAACAGATTGAGTACAAGATTGCAGCCTCCAATGTATGAATATATGAAGCTGCTTATAGTGAGCAGACTATCTAATTTATCTAATCCAATACCATTTCCTTTGTCTGGTAACAGCTTTCCTTCAGCTAAGTTTGGCTATCAGGTATCTCTTTAGCTACAAATGCCAGGGACTGGTCCTCAGACCTCATGCATGCAAAATATACACTCTGCAACTGAGGTATGAGACCCTTCTATCCATGTTTTAAAACTGTGTTTATGAAAACGCTTTAAAAAAATGTGGTACTTGGGTGCCACAGAACTCTCATTGTTCTTGAAAACCTATTTCTTTCTTGGTTTTTGTAATAAATTATTTTACACTCGTTTTTAAACTAGCTATTAGCTCCCCCCTCTTTTTGTTTTTAAAGTAATGATTTTTAAAAATTAAAAAGTTCTAATACTTTATAGAACCCAAGAGGCTTAAGAACTACCAGTTTCAATTGAAAGAGAACGTAAACAGGTGTCATGAATGACAGTACTTAGCACCTAAAGCTGTGGCTTGGGTTTTGACTGCTTATTTATTCCCTGTAAGAAGCATGATTCATCTTTTAAGAGTGTTTGACTAAAAGGCCTATCCATATATCTCACACAGTCTGATCATTTCTGATTGGTCTAGACTTCATCATTACAGCTAGAGGCAGAACCATGTGGTAACAGAAGCATAATAGTTGGCTACAAAGCCAAGATACAATTTTAGGACCCCTCTATGAGGAAAACAGCAAACAGTCATGAAGCAGTAATTTGCAGCTGTTGGGACTATCATGACTTGCTTATTCATAGGAAGAAATTCTGTGGAAATAGGCAAAGCAGTGAGGGGAGACTACACTGCGCTACAAATTTTGAAAGTTTGGGCAACAGAACTCACAATGAAGGCCATAATAAATTGTTGGTGATAGGGCATCAGTTTCAGAACTAGGATTATAAAAATCTAATTTTAATGCTGAGAGAAACCACCACTTTCATATCACACATAGTGAAAGGACTCAATTTGGGGGGAAATGTCTAGGTGTCTCCTTCCATCAGAAAATTCAACTTTGGGCTTTAAGAGAGAACATGAAGTATTCAAGCCAGCATGACAATAAGTAAACAGAGCCAAGCTAATGCTAACATATCTGTTTTCCTCTAGCAGGAACATTATCAGACAGGGATCTATATT